CTTCCAAACTGTAAAGTGCCTCCAAGTCATGGCTCCAGTTGTAGCGTCAAGAAGCCAGTAAAGACAGACGCTGAGCCTGCTAGCTACTTAACGCATGCGCTAACATTACTGAACTGTGGATCTGAAGCCTGGAAATGTATTATATAGCAGCTAGTTTGTTATGCAGCTGTCTTTCCCCCAAGACCATTTGCAAGAGCCATGGATGAAATTCATCGCTCTTATGCTTTTTAGGAATAATAGATGGCATTTATTGAATGTTTACTGTATGCCGTATGTATTCTACATATTGTGTGTGTGTGTATATATATATATATATATAAATCATATTTAATTGTTAGGTTTGAAATCAGAAAACAGCTGAATGCTTCTTGAGATAGTTCTCACAGCCTGCTTAGTTTAAGAAAAAAAAAAAAAACTATGTATGATTAAACTGTAGGTTTTTATGAGATTTATGCTCAAGTTTGTTAACATGTAATCAGCCCTTCCTGCTATCATTCCAAACACTAAGTCCAAAGTTATTGGAAAAATGTTTTTCCCCCGATCAGATTTCCCGTCCCATCAGTTTTTTTGAAACTGGTTTTGATTTCGTTAACCCTGTATCACTGATTGTTAGGAAAATATGACTCTGATAGTTTATGGCCAGAAGAAGTTTTTAAATGTGCAGCTAGTATTCAGGCACTCATTTTCTAGCAGTATTCCCAGTCTGCCCTAGATCGCAGGAGTTCTGACTGCAGCACAGACTGAGGGAAGCATGGCCTGCGTGCCAGCGGCTCAGCGCCTGGCATCCAGAGTTTGCTGGGAGGCGGTGTGGACCGTGCTTCCCGCGCCTCCGGCTGGGCGTGACTCTCCGAGGGGTCTCAGGATAGCGCGTTGAGGTTTACACGTGTAGCAAATACAGGAGTCGATTTGCTGACTCCATTAGAGGTGCTGAACTTTTTAGCTCTGGGCCTGGACTCTGCTTCCAAGCCTCGGCCGCCAACCCTGCCCGGGCTGCAGGATGAGCTGAGCGGCCGCGCTGTGTTCAGAGGCTCAGGGAGTTGGCTGAGGAAACCCCGGAGCAGGAGGCTTGTGTGACAGGGAGGACCATCGGGTTTACCCAGAGACCCTGGACACAGAGTGCTGCCCGCCTTGCTGTCACACCCCCACCCTCAGAGGCTTCCAGTCCTCCCTGGTTGGGTTCCTGATTGAAAGCTGTAATGATCCGGGTTGCTGGCTGTGGCCCCTCCCCATCATCTCTCTGCCAGGCTCCCGCCTCCCAGAGGACTTTACCAGGGACCTCAGAGACACACAGTGGGCTTGACGATTCCTGCTCGGGTTCACCAGTGTCTGCCTTCACCTGCGGCTTAAGATGCAGTCAGAACCGCTTCACCTGCACCCCCCCTTAGGAGCAGCCTCTGCCTGCACACATTCCCACCGCAGCGCCCTCTCCACATCGAGTCTTACAGTTAGAGAAGGTGGAACGCACCGCGTGCTTTTCCTGTCTTTGCCTGGTGTGTCCTGGCTGGGTCCCCAGGATGTTTTCCTGTCTAGTCTGCCTGTCAGGCTCCTACTCAGCATGTAAAGCCCATTGCACATTGAATGCAAATTTGGGGATGCCTTTTGTCACCTTTCCACTCAGGCTTGTGTTTTGTCTTTGTTCCCGATGTGTTAGGCTAGAGATGTGGTCTTACGCTGTGTTGATCTGACCTTCTGCCTCAGCAGGCCCGTTAGGCCCAGGCACAGTGTCATGTTCGGCTCTAGGTTTTCCGTGCCTGGTATGGTTCATAGCACATAACAGCTATTTTACAAATAAATAGTCTTTAATAGTCCTCCTAGTCCTCCTTACATTCCATGAGGTTGTGGGACCTTTGTATTTAAGCTCATTCTGAAGATGTATAAGGGCATCTTTTATGGCCTAAATGTGAAGAGATGAGCTGTTAGCATCTTGCCTTTATGTGAGTGGGTAGAGTTGGGGAAGCTGTAGGGTAAGCAGCAGACATCAGAACTGCTCTGTGTTTTGCTTGCTAGAGTTCAGGGTAGCATCTGGTGCCCCTTGCCAGGAGAAATTGTTAACGACCCAGTCCTTAGGGTGCAGCCTCTTCCATGTAGCCTTGTCCATATCAGGAGCAGGCCATCTCTTTGGTCCTCAGATCGTAGCCATTCTTCTTTCTCTTTGGCGTTTGGAGACAGGTCTCACTGTGCAGCGCAGGCTGGCCTGGATCTCCGACTCCCAGGTCTCCTGCCTCGGCCTCCACCCTGAGTGTGCCACGGCTCCTAGCTGCCCTCTTTTTTCTGAATGAGACATTTCTGCTCACAGTAGTGGAAATGATTTGTTAAACTATAGTTTTCAGTAGTAAGACAAGACATTTGGGACCGGGAAGTTAGATCACTCCACTAACAGTAATTTTTAGTGAAAATAGAAACTGCATTATTTAGCACGTAGAAATCACTGAGTAGATGCTAATTTAGACTTTGTAATTTGTCTCCCTGTTCACTCCAGCTCCTCTTAAGTAAGACACTCATCTTGTTGTTATTCTTCAAAACCTGGTCTTTTCCTAATTCTTTAGTAGTTGAAGTGGAACTTTGATCCCACGAAACACAAGCAGCCCTTGCTGATTTTCCTGGTGTCCACTGACTGTTCTGACAGGGAGTGGTCAGCAGGATGAGGAGAGCGATCGGAGTAGTGCAGAGGGTGACTGAGCTGAAGGCGTGGCTGTCCTGACCGATTTGTTACTGCAGCTCCCTTGGAGATTATGGGCAGGCGCTTAGCCCTGCTTGTTAGAACCGACAAAGGCTTGTTACCAGGAAGTCAGTTTCCAGATCGCACTGACACTTCAGAGTTCTGAAGTTGTGTTTTTAACGTGAGACAAGGGTACCCTGCTGCGTTGGAAAATGAAGTCAAATCCCTGTAGGATCAAACGTTTGTGCTGCTCCCTTCTCCTTCCCTCTTCCTTTCTTGTCCAGCTAACCCTTTGGTAGATTTTAATTTCCTTAATACAGTCCCACTCCATGTTTCTATTATTTGTGGGCTGTGATCACTTTGATTTGGTCATATTTTCTAGTGAACGCCAAAGAGAACCTGTGGAATTAATTAGTGGTGATTTATGGTACCTGTCCTGCTGAAGGACAGTTTGTTCATCTCACAGCGGTTGATTGTGAAAAGCCTTAGTCTGGATTTAACATCAGGCAGCATCTGAGTTGGTTTGGTATTTTTTTTTGGTTTTCTAAGACAGGGTCTCAATGTGTAATTCAGGCTGGCCTTGAACTTACTGTGTAGCCCGGACTAGTCTTAAATTTGTGGCCTCCCGAGGGCTGGGATTACAGGTGTTTGCCACCATGCCCTGCTGACCTCAGTTAGGTTAAACATTCTGCAGTAAGATTTAACATACAATCCTAGGGGTCAGTTCTAAGTAGTTGTCTTGATTTTTATGTTGTGTTTAAAGTGAGCTTGGGCCGTGTGGTCATCCAGGCTCCCAAGCCCTCCGCCTGGCTGCAATCTGAGCCCTGATTGCAGCTCCTGCATAATTTAGGCTACTCACGGGGCGCCAGAGCAGAGAAAGGGAGCTGCTGCCTGGAGGCAGGACTCTGTGTGTTGGAGCAGTGAAAGCGTGGGGCGAGCACAGTGGAAAAGTTGCTGTAATAGTGAAGATCTGTCGTCTGAAGTTCACATTTCAAAGCTTTTCTCCAAACCCTTGATATGTTAGCCGTTGTTATTTAATAAAAAAGGTGTGTGTAATAAAGTGAAGATTACACAGGTGTAGCTGCCCACCCAGTGCCAAGGCAGGCCTGGTAGGCCCTGCTCTGTGTATTTAACCAGTTGGGCCAGTGGAAGATTATTGATTTGATTTGATTTGATTTTTACTGGATGCCAAAAGGTAACGAGAATTGCATGTTTCTTGGGATTTTCATAGAAAACAGTCAGCAGTGAGATGCTGAGACGGACTTGCGAGGTTCACTGGCCTTGGGAGCTTTGCCGCTGGAGGCTTTGGTGCTTGCTTTCTATTCAGAGGGACTTTCGTGTTTGTTTCGCACTCAGCCATCGTGTAAAAGGCCCCCTCTTGGATCTGGTTTTGTTTTTTGTTTATTGGTGGTGCTGTGGATGGATGTAGGGCTTTGTGCATAGTAACCAAGCTGTCACCAAGCTGTGCCCCCACATCCGGTCATTTTTATTTTTTTTATTTTTTATTTTTTAGTACCAGGGATTGAACTCATGACCTCATGCTTGCCAGGCAGGCGCTTATGCCACTGAGCTAAATCCCGGCCATCTGGTCATTTTTAATTTTATTGAAGAGGTGTTTACTTTGGGGTATGGTAGGTATATTTTCCATATGTCAGCCATAAGGACAATGAGACAGAACAAATGAGCTTTGCAAATATTTTATTTTGAAAATTTTCAGCAGGACTATTAAAGGCAGGCTAGCCTTAGTAAAGTGTACTGACCTTTTTTGTTTAAATAATTACAATTTCACATAAGCTGACAACTTATTGTTCATTTTAAAGCTTGCATATCTGCTGTAATTTTCATTTTGTATAAAGGTGCACCATGTTAAAACATAGTGTACAACTTTATGTTTTTAACAGAGCATTAAAATGGGTAATGTTCTGAGGATCACAGTTAACTGTTGAGCACCTGTGGCCCTGAACAAATGCGCTGTAGAAACCATTCTGTCTCTTGTAGGTACGGTTGTAAATATTTGATGAATCTGTTCAGGCAAGAATTTTTTTTTAAGACCAGTCAGTACTTTTTAAGTATTTTAAGGGTTTTCTTTTCCCCTGTTCAGTTTTGGCCTTGTTTAGCATTTCCTGCCTGTGTCGTGTTTTTGTTTGCATTACCACTCTCTCGTGTCTCGTGAATTGGCTTGATATTGCAATTCATGTTTTACTTTTAAGAAGCCACATACTTTCTGTTTTAAAGCATAGCAAGTACCAGCAGATCCTATATGAAACTTTCGACTTACGTTACTTCTGGGTGCCATCACTAAAGGAAATTGTCACTAATGTCAGTTTTTAAATTTTGACAGCCTCAAGTACTACAGCCTTCCAGCAGCCTTCCCAGACCCACAGACCACGCCCAGGGAAAACTAACAAAGCTGCCACACACAGAGGCCCGCAGTGAGGGCGCGGCCCAGGGCCCGTGTCAGGACAGTGCGCAGCCCGATGGAAGCTGCTCCCGCGGCTCGCAGCAGGAAGACAGCCGCGGCTCGAAGGACCGGCCTTGCCCCGCCAGCCTGCAGCTCACGGTGGACACAGCACAGAGTACACCTTGTGGCGCGACCTCGGACAGGGCCATGCACACTCCAGAGCCTCCCCACTTGGAAAGGAATCAGAGCACTGGCGCACAGCTTGTGCTGTCTTCTCACCGAACAGCTGCCCAGTCAAGCGCAGGGGACCAAGCTCCGGGGGCTGGAAGAGACCCGTCTCTGTGGGTGGGCTGCCCGTCACAACCCAGGTCCGTGCAGCTGTCCAGGCCATCCCTCTTGAGCTCTGTAGCACTTCCTCCACACACCGCATCCTCTCCAAGTAAGACTTCCACTTCTGAGAAGTCTCTCATAGTCACACCATGCAGTTCACCAAGACCTCGGCCACTATCTGGCCAAGCAAGCCTGACCAATCTGAGTTTGAAAGCATCTAAGCTCCGTCCCCCTTCCACCTCTTTCAAGCAAAAACAGATAGGCAACCCCAGCCCTCGACTAGAGCCTCAGAACTTCCAGGCCAAGACAAGCATCCCAAGGCCGCTAGCACGGCAGAAAGAAATCATGCAGACTCCAAATGGCAATTTGCATTCTGGGGATTGTTTGGCTTCTAATCGATATTCTCGTCTTCCTAAACCAAAGATATATTAAGTGCATAGCCAGCACCTGCCATTTGCTGTTCTTTGAAAGTCTGTTGTGTAATAGCTTTATGTGCGGTTTGCTACCATGTTGGAGGTTCTGTTGAAAGCCTGCAAATCTCAAAATGAAGTCGGGGGAGTCTGCACTAGTTGGGCTTCTCCACGTCGTGTCCTGGCTGAAGTACACACCACGGGAGCACGCTTGTCTCAGGTAAACACAAGTCTGCTGACCATCTCGGAGGCCCTCGCAGCTCCAGTCACACTGTCCGTCCCTGCGCATTGTGAAGGTCGTGATGTCCACTGAGCGGGCAAGAGCTGCTTCGCTGATTCTTCCTCCTGTGGCCTGTGCCGCTGAGGTGTCAAGCTCACCCCAGGCACTGTCCCGGCAGTGCAGCTGCCATCACCTGAAGATGTGGTGGTGACAGAGGTGGTCACCTGCGAGCGAGCAGAGCTCTGGCCAGTGTCTGTGCATTCTAACGGCTATGCAGAAGCTTTGTGACAAATAAAAGAGATCAGGCTTTACTGGGAGCTCTGTGTACGTTTCATTTTCCCCTGCTGGAATCAGCAAGTTTTACTAGTTTGTTCATTTCCAGAGGGATTGCCCCGCTGAAAGTGTTCAGTATTGTATATAAGCCGTTACACTTTGCTTTAACGTCTTGTTCCTCATACACACATTACTACTGTGCTTGTATTGGTACTGGCAGTTGTGGAGAGCTCGTGGTACACCTCGAAACCCATTCCTAATGGGGATCTGTCTGTAACGTGTGTTGGTGCTAGAGTTCTGCTGACAGTTCAGCTTCGAACCCTGTAGACCTACCCTACCCATCATAGCTGATTTAAGGTTCCACAGCATATATTTTAAATTAAGTCTTTATTATAATATTTATATTTATTGATTCTGCTAATATCCGAAGACTGGAATAATGAACTTGAAATATTTGCACAAAACTTTGTTGGGATACAAGTATCCCACACATAGAGACTTAAAGTTTATTTTCTATAGCAAAATAAGTTAAAATATTTTGAAAAATTAAAATGTAAAGACTCTTGAAAAACAATTCATAACAGTTTTGCTTTTTTGAGTTTCCTAGATTTCTCTTTTCAGTTGGTGCATGTATGAATGACAGTCCCTTGAAAAGTAGATTTGGGAAGGAAAATAGGACGGTACAGGGAAATTATGTTTTATTAGGAAATATTTTAAGAGAAAAACGCTCCTTTATTTTAACGTGCTGCCCAGGTAGCTGTGGAACCTCCAAGCCATCACGCACGCGCACCCAGTCACGATTTGGGCCAGCTGTCAGGCGGTGGAGGAAATCTGCCCTCTGTTCTCTTAGGTCACATCATCTTTAGGCTGGTTGTCCGAGGCTAACTGAATTGGAATTAGTCTTTTTAGACAAAATATCTTAAAAGATCAGTTTATGTTTTGATTAATCAAATATATATCAAAAGAAATTCAGTCCAAAAAAAGCACTCGAATTTCTAGGGATTTCTTTAAGAAATGTGCATTCCTGAAGTTACCTGCTCTCTCTCAGCAGAAAATAGCAAGTGCTTGAGTGGGGTTGGCAGAGCGGTGTGTGCTCCATGTGGACGCAGGCTTCCTTCCCGGGGCCACCTGCCTGCAGCCCCAGGAACCTGGTCCTAGACTGGCTCCAGATGGGCGGCATGGCTCAGTGTGGTGTGCAGACTCCTGTGCTGCGCGGTCCAGCCCTGCTGGCATAGAGTCGCAGTGCTCTGAGCCGAGCTCTGCCTGGGGACGGAGCCGGGCTAGGCGGGCACTGCTGGGAAGGTGGGGATGCGGTCTCTGACTGTCAAGGAGACGGAAAGCTGACTTCATGGCTGGCAGGTTGGGTACTGTCTGACTTCTGCAAAGCAAATTGTGCTGGTGAATTACTCAGTGGGCTTCTGGTTTGTTTAGAAGTTTGGTATAGAGCCTTATGAAATATCATTTACAAGTTGGCCTTATCCTTAGGGAAAACTTTTTACATTTTTATTTTTAACCCCCTAGTCTAAAAAAGTGTCTATATTGCCTGTAACATAAAAGTATTGACTCCAGTATTTATGCCTTTGTGCTGTTTTTGTTCTCTTTGGTGAACCTGCAGAAACATTAGCTCATGGATGGTTCCACTTCTCTGTACCTCTGTTAGGCCCTGCTCTTGGCAGAAGACAGGGTCATCAATATAATTATGAAGCGTATTTAAGAGCAAAAATATCTAGACTGCTCATACAAGTAACAAAGTTTTTTTTTTTTTTTTTTTTGCAGTTTTCTTCAATAGCTGCAGTGTCATGCTGGTTGCTTAGTCAGTGTAAGTCAGAAGTGGACATGTGCATCACCAGGCCCAGTCATCAGAGCCTAGCCTCTTGGGCTGTCTGTCTGTCTGTCACTTCTGTAGATCAGCTCTGGCCCAAGCCTCCCTCCTGCAAAAGCTGAGGTCACCGATTCTCGTAGTTACCGTGGGGTCAGCAAAGACCTGGAGATGTGTAAATTCACAGTCCTGAGGAAGAAGTTGCCCTGGGTGGGTTTGTTTCACATTTAGGAAAGGGGAAGTTGAGAGTATGCAGAACCATGGATTTGGCTATTATAGGAGCACGTGTTTTTTCAAAGACAGCTTGGCCCGAAGGAGTTTATACGTCTAGCTAAAGAGTATGTTAAGGCAGTAAACAAAGGACTACAAAGTCACGTCATTTAGAATGTTTCTAATACCTGCGACCATCTAGCGTTTTTCTTTTGGAGTCTCATTTTCACTTGTGCAATATTTCCAGGCATCTAAGACTACTGTGCATTGTATTATATAGACATTAGGGGACTTACAAAGTATTTTAACAAGTAAAATCTGGATATGAAAGAATATATCAGATTTGCACTTTAAAAGAGCTTAACTGCTTGGAGTTGTGCCTGAAATGCCAAGACGCCTCCCCGGTGTGGCTTAGTGGAGTCTGGCCTTGTTGCTGTGTGAAGAAGCTAGCGGTGGAGCCCCTCCAAATTCTGTCCCCAGCGTGGCCCTCTGCCATTAAAAAACCACGTTGTCCTTAACCGTTCCGTTGTCCCTGAAGTCACTTACTCACGTTACACAGCGAAGAGAACGGCCCCCCAGGCCTCTTCCCAGCCTTGCTCTGTGGCTGCTCTCACAGCTGCGCCCCGGGGTGCACTGGGGCTGCCAGGGCTCAAGGCTCCGCTCCTGCTCCTTGGCGCCCCACCTCTCCTCACGCAGGGTCCTGTGGCCTGTTCCTTCAGGCTGCGCCGCTGCGTGCTTGTGCACACATTGGAAAATTAATTATAAGACACCTTAGGTTTCTCCTTGGGGATGATGGCCTTGCAACTTAATTCTGATGCTCGAATTCTGTTTACTCAGTGTTTTTACATGTTCTGTTCTGTTTTCTATTGCAGCCATTTGAGAATACGTTTGTATAAATGATTATGGAGGTTGGCGCCAATGTACAACTAGTTATTAAAAATACATGTCTTGTTGGGGGGAAAGTTACCCACATTCTCCTTGGTAAAGCATTGCTAGAGCAAACCAATGCCCTGAAAATTTATGGTCTCTTAAATCACGACTAAACACAAAAGTAATACCCACAGTATTGTTTTCCACGTTGACTTTAAAAACTGGTTTAGAGTACATACTGTACATTAGAACTTGCTTGTAAAGTGAAGTGTAAAGACCAGATGTAAAGTCTCTTTCATGAAAATCTTGGCATAGTAGGTAAAAATAAAGTTCGTAATTACAAAACTTTTCTTGGTCTTGGACTGTGAGTTCCATGGTTTACATGTTTTTGGATAGTTTTTCTCCACAAAGATAAATATCTGTTCATTTGCTAATTACTTTTCAAACTCTGATACCTTTTTTTTTACACGCTCCCCTCTTACACTTCACACTGAAATCCCTGATGACGGAGTAGAAATTTGAACATTTTCTTGTGTTTTCACAGATACTGTCAGTGACCTAGTACCTCACTTTTCACTCACATTTCTGCATTATCCTAGGAAAGTCCTGGGACGTGGCTAATGAATTACTGAAGGAAGCACAGTAGCTTAGAAAGCTGCACAAAGGAGAAGAGCTCACTATTTAGCAAGTGTAACTGCTTTTAAACATCAGGAACAGAATTCCTGCCAGAAGAACGAGGTTCAGTCAGTAAAATTCTGCATCCTTTGGGGGCCAATTCACTTTACAAATCTTTTCAGTTTAGTCAGTGTGATGGGTGTGTAACGGCTGCTGCAGTGATGGTTACGCGTATGGTGGGGATGGTGAGGGGAGGTTTATTCCTGGGAAGCTGGACTAGGACTCTTACAATACCTGTGTGAACTTTAAGGCCATCTGAGTTATTAACGAGTGCTTGTTTTTTTTTTTTTTTTTCTTCCTCAAATCCACTTTGTTTCAAAGAAAAAAAAAATCTCCAAACCTGTCAAGTCAGAGCAGCACTGACACACACACACACTTAGCAGGCTCTTCTTGCAGGCCTCTGGACGCCTCCATGGTCACCCCGGGCCCTGCTGGTATGAGCTGCGTCACAGAGGCAGGCGTGACCTCCCGCAGCGCTGTGATGTCGGGGTTCGACCCGTCAGCACGGGCACTGCGTCCGCGTTTTGCTGAGCGGTGTTCCGCTGGTCGTCACCCAGCAGGCCCACCTGTGTGGTCTACAGTGCTTGTTTATTGCCAGTCCACTGCTAACAGCATCCATGACTGAGTCTTCCTGTGCGGCAGATGACTGGGTCAGGAGGCAAACCCAGGCTGCAATTGTTAAGAAATGCCCAGCGGTTTTCCCAGCTGGCTGCGCTGCCCTGTGTTCCTACCAGCGAGCCGTGGGCATCCTTAGTCCCCCACCCTTGCCAGCTTTGTCCTTGGTGCCAGCCATCCTGTGGAGGTGGAAGTGGTGTCTGCTTTAGCCGCTCAGTAGCTATGCATGCTGCCTCTCTGGCCGGTCTGTTCAGACCTGCGTGCGTTTCATAGGGCTGCCCACGCAGCTTGGGCTCTTTGTGTTTTCCAGATAGAGCCCTTGATCAGAGGGCTTTTCCTCCACTTATCTTTGTATCATGGGGCGTACAGAGATGTTCATTTTTCTTTTACATACTTCTTGTTCTTAGTATTATATCCAAGAAATCTTCGCCAAGCCCAAGGCCTCGAAGGTCTTCTCCCCTGTCATCTTCTGGTAGTTGTGCCCTTTAAAGCCGACCCATTTTGGAAATGTTTGCTTGTGGTGCGAGGTGAGGGTTCACATTCATCTCACACGGGAATATCCAGTTGGCCCTGCACCACTTGTTAAAAAGGCCGTTGTCTGCTGTTCACTGTCTGGTGTACTCAGTGTTTACGAGGGAACACATTTAATACAGGACACAGAATTTACAGGGTAATTTATAATATTCATCCAAAGAGTCAAATGCCCAAGAGCGCAGGAGAACTGCCCACCCACTAGACACCCAAACAACCCAGCTGAGGGCCTGGATCCCACGGCAGCATCCTACATGAGTCCAGCTGAAGACCTAGCACCCACGGCAGTGTCCCACGCGAGTCTATTAAGGACCTGCACTGCGAAGGCCCAAAGGACAGCGGCGGGAGCTAGAAAGTCTGCACTGGGGGTGAAGGAGCTGTGGCAGCAGGCGAGGGGTCTGCAGTGGAGCCAGCAAGCGACGCTCTAGGTAAGGACCAGAGCTCCCCCAAAGAGAGCTGCAGCCATCCTCAGTGACGGCGAGGACCCGAGCTCCTCTGAGGATGGGAACAGCCGAGTTCATATCAGGGAACCAGCGTGCCGAGCTCCTCCGGGAGGATCCACAGCAGTCTTCCCCTCCAGCTCTCCGCCTGTGCTGTGGGCAGCGATCCTCAGGTGCCCGCCCTTCCAGCCAGCACCGCGCTGACTCAGTTGCGCTGGGTGTCACAAGGTGACTGTTAGCGAACCCACCACAATGCTCATAAACCCCAGTGCCATTTTCTGGATGGCGAGTTCTGTCCTCCACCTCCACCTCCGTTTCCGTGGACAGCTTCGTAGTTAGGTGTTAAACTTAGAAGGTCTCGCACCCTAACTCTTGCTGTTTTTGAGTGGTTTTGAACACCCGTGGTCTCAGCAGGGCCCCGTCCCTACAGTCTTTTCTAATTCCATATACATTTTAGGGTCATTTTGTCAGGTTCTACAGACGTGTGAGCTGGGATTTCACTGAGGCAACCCCAGAATCTTTCGGGTTTGGGGGGGAAAGTCAATTTAACCACACTGAGGCTTCAGCCCACGAATGGGGAACATCTCTTCAATTACTTGGTGTTCTCAGCAGGGCAATTAAAGTTTATTATTGGTGGTGCACAAATCTTATACTTGTTAAATCTATTCTTAATATTTTATTCTTCCTGGTGTTCTTGTGAAGGGAATTACATTCTTAGCTTTTATTTTTTAGATTGTTTGGCAGCAGCTTATGTGTGAGGAAGTCAGTTGAGACTGTGCTGTTTGGCAGTTGTAATGCTCTCATGGGTCCCAGGGATTTGGGGGTGACGGGGTCACAAACTGCAGTAAAGGCAAGTTTCAGGTTTCCTCTCCCACCTTCCTGTCGGGGTGCCCAGCCCTGTTTTTACCCTGAGGCGGATCCTGCTGGAGCCTACACTGGTTCCTGCAGCCCCAGAGGACAGTGGCAGTGACCAGGAGTCCCTTCCCTCTGCAGGGTAGGAGGCGGTCACAGCCAGAGGCCTCTCCCCTAGGGCTTGTGGTGGCTTCTGCCCCTGCCTGGTTCTGAGAGCCTTGCTAAAGATTTTAAGTGATATATTGTGACTTTATCTCCCCTAGCACACCCTGCAGTAGGAGCTGACCCTGGGGCCTGATGGGGACCCCAAATGGTTATAATAAAATGTCTTAACCTCATGGATGGTGGAAATCGGGGGGGGGGGGCTCAGGATACAGCACAAATGTGAGGAAGGTGAGCGTGTGGAGTGTAAACACCGTGGTGCCCTCCACCACAGAGCTGCACCCCAGCTTCCTAGTTTAGTGTTCTGTATTGTGGGACAAGGTCTCACTAAGTTGTCCTGACAGTATTGGAACTTGTGACCCTCCTGACCCCGCCTCCCTGAGTGTTGGGATTGTGTGTGTTACCAGGCCCAGCACAGAGCCTGTGGTTTGAGACAGTCACCTTGCATGCAGCGCAGCGCCCACTCTCATTTCTCTAAGTGCCAGAAAACTTTCAGACAGAAGCGGCGGTCCGCGGTAGGGAGGCAGGATGTTTAGTGCTCCCCTCAGGCCTTGTCCCCTGGCTGCTTTTGCGCAATCTAAGCTACAAGTGGCGTCAGTGCAGCCACCTTTATTACTGCGGGCTGCAGGAGGTGCAGTGCGTCAGGGAACCTGGGTCCCATGGGGCGGAGCAGCTTCCTGCGCCGCTCGCTGTGCGCTTTGGGAAGAAGAATGATTCCTGTTCTTCCGGTGTTCGTTTGCCGCGGCCCAGGGTTGTTTCCGGAGGCTTCGGGAGGAGGAGACGCGCTTGGGCAGCGCTGCACAGGAGCTGCTGTCCACAAGGCGGCTCCCTCCGCCCCGTCTGGCCCGCTGCATCCAGGAGACGTCAGGGCCGCGCTTGCACCCCCAGCTCCGTGCGCCCCAGTCCGGTGTGCGGTGCTGCGGCCCCCGCCAGGGTGTTCGGGAACCGCCAGCGTCTCCGCCGCGAGGAGAGCCGGGAGAGCCGCCCGCCTCCCACGGCTGATTGAACCGCGGCTCCCCTTCGGGGCCCTTCCGGTCTCCCAGAACTCGGATCTGGGGATAGACGCGGAGGGTAGGAGCCGCGGGACAGCGCCTCCCCCTGGTGGTCAGATCGCAGACCTCCCGCCTATATGTCAGGCCTGTTCCAAAAAAAATGGTATGGGGTTTCTCCTTCAGGAGACAAAAACCAAAAATTACGAGACAGGACAATCGCCAAAAAGCGCGAAACACAACAACTACACTCTACAGTGGAAGAGTGGCCGAGACGATGTCATTGGAGAACGGACTTAGCTCCAGCTTCCTGGCAGCCAAGGCAAAGAGGGGAAACTGCTTTCTTTGTCCAATAAAAAGGATTTTTTTCTGTTTTAGTTTGTTTTCTTTTATTCTCTTTAAAATACGCTTTATTCCTTTGATAAGCTTTATTCTATTTTGTGTAATTTTATTATGTTTGATGGTGTGGGCAGCTATTTTGAAGAAAACTAGAGACATTATGGTAACCATTGTGGTTTTCCTATTGTCTTGTTTTGAAGTCCTGCATTGATTTTGTTGTTCTCGTCTGATCAACTTTATTCTGTTTGGTTTGGTTTTATTCTTTTTAAAATTAAAAATAAAAAGACAGGGCAACCCCTGTCTTTGTGAAGCTTGCAATCTGGTGTGGAAAGTAAGCCGGACGAATGCATTGAACAGGGAGTTTTCCTGTTCTTGAAATTTGTCAGTAATTAACAACGGCTCTGTGAACCGGAGGTGCCCTCAGTGTGGACATTCATGTACTGGAAAAGCCACCCGAAGGTCCCGGAGGAACCGAGGCCCCAGTTTCTGCAGGGAGCCGGGAAGGCCCTGCAGGTCTCCAGGCTCTGGCTGGGCTTCAGCTGCAGCGCTGGAGCCTGGTCTGGGAGGCCAGGCCCACAGCAGTGGTGCGTGGATTCTGGGGCCCACGCAGCCCACGGCCCCACTGTGGACGAGGCAGGTCCACTCAGGTGCGCTGCACGAAGATGCCCGAGGCTATAGAGTCCACACCAGTTTCCAGGAACAATAAAGTCGATATATTTCTGATTATTGTGTACTCACTGTA